CATGTTGGCCAGGCTGCTCTCAAACTCCTGACCTCATGATCTGCCTGCCTTGGCCTCCCAAAGTGCTGGGATTACAGGCGTGAGCCACCACGCCTGGCCAGTGCTTCGTTTCTTTAATAGTGTCTTTCTAACAGCAGAGTTTTTAATTTTGATTTTAAAGAAGTTATAAATGTTGATGAAGTCCAATTAATAGGGTCTTTTGGTGAATAGAAGGTCTTAATTTTAATAGATTCTATGTGATTGTCTTTTTCTGTATGATCCAGCTTTTTTTCCCCTGCCATTTAAGAAATCTTTGCTTGTTCCAAGGTTGAGAAGATAGTCTACTATGTATTCTAGAAAAGATTTGTATTATTTTATCTTTACATCTTTATCATCAGTCTATCTGGAATTGGTTTTTGAGTATGTGATGAGGTAGGATACAAGTTTATTTTCTTTCATATGGATATACAATTGATCCAGCATCGTTTATTGAAAAGACCATCCTTTCTCCACTCTGAGTGTTATTTTTGTAGTAAATCAAGTGACCATCTTTCTAAGGGTCTGTTTCTTTCCAGCTTCCAAAACTTCATTGCTCTTCTTATCCTTGTGGGTTTATGTTTTTAAAAGAAAATAGAAACAAAAACCCCTCTTTGTTACAACATTAGAAAGGTTTCAGAGTGAAAGTTTTCAGAATGAAAGGTTTCAGAGTGAAAGTTGAAGTGAGTGTAGGAAGTTGAAGTGAGTGTAGATTCTCTTAACGATATTTTCTGGGAGGTTCCTCCATTGCCTTCTCTACTCTATGAAGTTGATGGACTCTGGGGAGAGAGGTGAATAGCGCTAGAGGAACTGGTTATGTGGAAACTTCGCTGTCCAACTAGTCACTTAAATATCATCTCTGGTGTAGGCTTTGAAGGAAGGTAGCTTACCTGAGAGTGGAAAATCTTATTTCACATGCACCACTTTTGCTTTATTGAGGGCAACATGGAGTTTGGCGAGCTGGCAGTTACAGGAAAGTCACTTTGTTTACACCTGAAAAGAATTTGCCAAAGAAGGAATTTGTTGGGGATGTGGGGGGGAGTGTCTGCCATTAGTCATTTCTTCCACAGAATAGCTGTTTTTACTATACCCTCCCTTTGTCATCTTATATATTGCATTCATTTTGAAGTACAGCCACAATTTAGTGCTCCTTTTATTAGTTCTATCATTTGTAAGATTAGACATGTATTTTTCTGCCGTTTAGAAGGATTACGATAATCCCCACCTCGTTGGGTTAGTGTGTGCTGGTGGGTTAGGTATTCCGTTTTTTCTTTCCTACTCCAAATTGCCAACTTTCTCTTCGGTTATTTGCGTGTTTCCAGGAGTGCCATTGCCAATCTCATGAGCTCTACAGAAGACCGTGTAACTGGAAATTTCAGCAAAATAAATAAATACATAAATAAATAAGTAAATGAAATTCTCATGTAGACGGAAGTGTCTGTACACTCCATTTTTGTAAAGTTGGAAATGTTAACATTGTATGAGTATATGATGAAGGATTTTTTTTTTCTTTAAGCCACAATTGCGTGTTCTTTTAGACCCAACATAGTATATAAAATGGGCACTGAATTTGGAATCAGAAAATCCTGGTTGAAATCTTAATCTTTTAACTTCGTATCATTCGATCATGGTTAACAATGGTAATAATAATATTCACAAAGCTAGATATTGTGTCATTGAGTTCGTTGCTGCATTTCTTGGTTGATTAGTTGATATTCAGATTGCAGGAGCATCATCATTATCAGTAAGTGATACATTTTCGATTGTAACATAAGGTCATTGTTATTTTGTAATGCCATCCTGTTTTTCTTCTTGACTACTCATGGGATGTTTTTTTGTTCTAACAAAATATATAATATTTTTATATTCTTCACTTGATATAAGTTGATGATTTAATGTTGAATCCTGTTTGCTATTTTACTATTATTCATTAAAGGCCATCTTTAAAAGGGAGAGGTGTTTAGCACATATTCAATTTAAAACTAAATGGAAAGCAAATTCGGAAAGGATTTATCTTCAAGAATTCAATGTTAAATCTAATTTTTAAAAAAACTTATATTGAGAAATTTTCTAGAGAGTCAGAGACCTAGAGCCTGGCGCCTTCCCTGAAAACAAGTGACCCCAGTCTTTCTAATGCAAATTGAGTCTCTTTATCCACAAAGTAGCTTTTCTGGGTACTCTAGATTCCTGGAGCATGTTAAAAATAAAGAGTGTCAAGACTCAGGGAGCCCGAACAGCCACCAGCAGGCCCACGTAAGGATGGGACTCCCATTTCTAGGAGAAGGGGCTGTATTGATGACATGGTGAGGCTGGGCTGCTGCCTGTTGCGTGCCGGGGCTCCAGGCCTCAGCCTGCAATGCCTCTGAATGGCGTTACCTTCCGGTCCCAGACACTCATCACTTTAGGTAAACTGAGGCAGAATAACATGAGTGACAGGATTTCCAAATGGAATATTGCTCAGTGTGCTTACTAGTCATTTAAGGTGATCTCATACAGCTATGAGGAGAACACCCATTTAATGCCAGCCTTAGACACCAGCTGCATGTATGGTGATTATATCTTTAGTCCCCCATTTCACTCCCTTTTTTGAAGAACTACTGAAGAAGAACGGAAGGAAATCGTTTTTGAGGGAATTAAATTTTCTTTTGAAACAGCATGATGGTGTTTAAAACAAAGAGAAAGTGAGCGAACAGGATGCCGATGACGGACCGTGCCGGGTTCTGCCTGCCGACTCAGGCTGTGCTTCTCCCTGCTCTGTCTTTGCTGCCTGCAGTCGTAAATATTTTAAAGAGCAGATGCGCCCGCTTATGGATTTGTGTAAATGTGGGTGTGCTGTCTGCAGAATGCGGGGCACACCGTGCTCTGTTGACATTATCCATTATGCTCTGTTGCTCAGCTTCAGACAGCAAAGTCCTGACATGTGCAGCCGTGTGGAGGATGCCGAAGGAATTGGAATCAGGCACCCACGAGTCCCCCGATGATTCATCCAGCGCGGCGCAGACCCTGGAGCTGCTCTGTCACCTTGACAACACAGCCCACAGCAACATGGCCTGGTAGGATTTTGCATATTTCATGCGCCCAGAATGAGCCTGCAGGTTGGCCAGGTGCAGGAGCTTGTGTAGATTCCTTTGCAGGAGCCACCGTCCACGCTTCAAAAACGCTCCTTTCTTTTAAAAAGCTGCTAGAATTTGATTTTTAATTTTAGTCCCCATGCTTTCCAGATCAGCCACATTGACAGAAATGTAGCAAGCGCGCCTGCATCCCCTCTTTCTCCTCTTCATCTCAGAGGAGTGTTGCCCACGGGGACCTGCCAGAGGGTAAAGGGTCAGGCGCCGCACTGCCCTCGGGTGCTGTGTGGCTTTTCAGCTTGGTCAGTGTGCGTCGAATCATACTCGCACGTAAATTATTTACCACTTCAGGTTGCAGCCTATAATCTCTTCCTCCTGTGGACAAAGCATGAGTGCACAGTGTGCATATGGGGCTGCGTGCCCGAGCCCGCCCCTCTACGGCACGTGGCGTGTCATTCACGTGGCTCCCTGGCCAGTGGCTGCTTCATGAGGTTGGAGGCCTGGCTGTGTCCACCCACTGGTCGTTCCCAGGGACCTCTCCACGGCAGTCAGAGCTGCTCTCTGAAGGCCCTGAGGCCTTGGTAAAAATTAAGAAGCCGCATTTTCTAAAGGAGATTGCGGGGCCATAATGTTGTTATGAGTGTTGTCAATAATGATAGTGATCGTCTCACTTAATGCAGTAACACGTGCACATGCATGTGTGTCTGCAAGAGACTCATCGTTTGTACAGTGACTTCTGTCTAGTCAGTTCTACCAATTAAATCAATTTAATACAACAAATACTTCTTAAACACCTGCTACACAAACCCTGCCAGGCTCCAGGGACACCAAGGTGACAAGTTAGAGGACCCGGCCTCCAAGGGTCATGATCTCCATGGGGAGACCCAGCGTGTACACAGCTAACTGTGGGTGGGACCGGCCATGATGCACCCGAAATCATTACGGACTGTACGCTGTGGCCCCGGAGGGAGCAGGCATTAATTGTTATTAGAGGAACTGAAGAGGGATGCGCTTATGAGATGATGTTTGGAATGGGGACCGAGGACCAGCTCAGGTTTCCTTCGTCAGGTATGGAGGAGAGCAGTGCTGTAGGTCAGGCTGTCTGTGGCTCCGGATGCTCTCTGTGTATCAGTTTGTGGTGGAATTATTCTTATTCTTATTATTATTATTTTTTTTTTGAGATGGAGTCTCGCTCTGTCTCCCAGGCTGGAGTGCAGTGGCGCGATCTCGGCTCACTGCAATCTCTGCCTCCCGGGTTCACGCCATTCTCCTGCCTCAGCCTCCGGAGTAGCTGGGACTACAGGCGCCCACCACCATGCCCGGATAATTTTTTGTATTTTTAGTAGAGACGGGGTTTCACCATATTAGCCAGGATGGTCTTGATCTTCTGACCTTGTGATCCGCCCGCCTCCGCCTCCCAAAGTCCTGGGATTACAGGCGTGAGCCACTGCGCCTGGCTGGTGGAATTATTTGTATACTTGCTGTGCTTCTACCAGTGGATATTTCTTCTTGCGGAGATGCTCTGAGTATTAAAATCACAGCCAGTCTTGCACAGTAAGGGGAGGCAGATGGAGAGTCCCAAAGTCCCCAGGAGTGATTGCCTCTGTGCTGTCACTGCCTGCTCGAATGCAGGATCTCTGGGCAAACCACACTGCACTGTTACAAGGTCCACATTTCAAATCATGGCCACATCCCCAGCAAATAGACATTTGTGCACATCTGTGTGGTGCACACGTGAGCACATGTGTGTATGTGTTAGTGTGTGTACACGTTGCAGGAGACACTGGCACCAGGGAGCAGATGAGTGAGACTCTGTGCAGGTCAGTGGTCATGTTAGGGAGGTTAGCATGTGTAGAGGATGACAGTCCTGCTGGGATGTGCAGAGACAGCTGAGCTCAGAAAAGGGACGTTGGCCTTGGCCCTCCCTGGGGACAAGGAGCTGTCAGACTGCTTCTCAACTTCCCACCTTGTGCAGACACTATCACATACACTGTATGCAAAGACAGGCTACACGGGTGTCTGTCGTGGGGAACCAATTATTGGATTGTAATGTTACATTGCATTGTATGTACATACACTTATGAACATAGTTGTTGAAGACTGGGTGCAGTGGCTCACACCTGTAATCCCAGCACTTTGGGAGGCCGAGGTGGGTGGATCACCTCAGGTCAGGAGTTCAAGACCAGCCTGGCCAACATGACGAAACCCCATCTCTGCTAAACATACAAAAATTAGCCGGATGTGGTGGCATGTGCCTGTAGTCCCAGCTACTTGGGTGGCTGAGGCAGGAGAATCACTTGAATCTGGGAGGCGGAGGTTGCAGTGAGCTGAGATCATGCTACTGCACTCCAGCCTGGGTGAGAGAGTGAGACTCCGTCTCAAAACAAAAAAAAAAACCAAAAAAACCAAAAGAAATTGTTGATATTAAACAGGCAAATTCAACTATCTTGAACTATCTACCTTGGAATGCCATTTACTCTGATTTTGCCTCTATTGTTTAAAGCATTTCTTGAATTCTATTTTGTTATCCAATATATTATTGCATATTCTTTTTTTTCTTAAGCTTTTTATTTTGAGGTTGTAAATTCACATGGAGTTGTAGGAATAACAGAGAGATCCCATGTATCCTTCAGCCAGTTTTCCCCAAGAGTAACATTGCATAACTATTGTACAGTATCACAAACAGGAAACTGGCATTGATACAGCCCACTGCACTTACACAGATTCCACCTGTTCATATGCATTTGTGTGTGAACACTGGCTTCTATGCCATTTATTGTGTGTGTGGGTTTGTGTAGCCACCACCAGAGTCAAGGCACAGAACAACTCCAGCCCTAGGTCCTTTGTGCTACCTTATATTTATAGCCACAGCCACCTTCCTTCCCCCTCCGAGGCCTTAGCCCCTGGCCACCCCGAATCTGTCCTCTATCTCTGTATTGTTATTTGGAGAAGGTTCTATAAATGGAATCACACAGTGTAACCTTTGATAACTGGTGTTCTTCACTCAGCTTGATTCCCTGGAGGTTGAGTTGCTGCTTCATTTTCAAGTTTGGGTTCCAGCCGCCACGTGTGCCGGTCAGTGGCCGGTTCCTCTTTGCTGCTGTGGGATATTCCGTGGCATGACGCACCACGGTTTGTTAAGCACTGACCTATTGAAGCTCATCTGGGTTTTTCCTTGTTTTTGGCAATTATGACTACAGTTGTGGTAACTATTAACGAACAGGTTTTTGCATGAACAGGAGGTTTTATTTCTCTTGGCTCAGTTAGTTTTGTACGGAGCTGCTGCATGTGTGAGCCATGACAGAGCATGAGGGCCCTCCTTTCTGCATCCTCCCCAGCATTTGGTGTCGTCTGGCATGTTCTTTTAAGTGTCTTCCATGGCGTGAAAGTGTTGCAATTAGACAGGGAATTTGATTTTGGGGAACGTTGGCCTGGTGAACACAGCACAGGTGAAGGCCGCCCTTTGGGGTCAGACTGCAGGTGCTTGGTGGTAGTTTTGTTTGCCTCCTTTTGGCACATAATTGGCAGCAAGAACAGCTCCAGGAAATGTTTACTGCACAAAGCTTCTGGCCAGCAGGGAGTGCCCGAGAATGCCACACGGTTCCCCACACTCATGTTGCTACCGCTCCAGCCACTGTCACGGCCGCCATGGGTGTGCCCTACGAACTAGAGGCATGCCCCACACCCCAGGGAATGGTGTAAGGGGCTCCTGTCCTCCTGGGCATTTCAGCTTTTGCCTGTCTGGAGCAACCCGATGTCCTAATTTCGGTCACGTCTCCTGTGTCTGTTTTCAGCCCTCCAACAAGCAGAGGCTGAGCAGAGCACCCCTCCAGTTGCCCTTAGCTCCTGCTCGTGGGAACAGTGAAGGCTAAGGAAGGAACTTATAGAGTCTTGTGACCCGGCGTACCGCCCTGAACACTAATCAGACGTGCTCCAGAGCCCGGCGGCCTATGGAAGCAGACGGAGACTGGCTGGGAAATACTGAGCCCGGTTTCTCGTCCTCACCCGCTCCTCGCGGGCAGTAGGGTCACGAGGAAGTCACTCATCTCTCTAGCTCAAACCTTCATCCCTGAAGCGGAGATGACGTTGCTCAGCTGATGGTTATGTGTCAGGGCCTCTACATGGTGTCCACCAAGAGTCCAACTCTGTAAAATATTTGAAGAGATTTATTCTGAGCCGAATATGAGTGTGGCCCGTGACCCAGCCCTCAGGGCGTCCTGAGAACATGTGCCCAAGGTGGTTGGGGTGAAGTGTGGCTTTCTACATTTTAGGGAGGCACGAGACATTAATCAAATACATTTAAGAAATACATCGGTTTGGTCCAGAAAGGGGGGACAACTCAAAGCGGGAGGCTTCCAGACTGTAGGTAAATGTAAACATTTTCTGGTTAACAATTGGTTGAATTTGTCTAAAGACCTGAGATCAACTGAAAGGAATGTCTGGGTTAAGATAAAGGACTGTGGAGACCCGAGTTCTTATTTGCAGAGGAAACCTTCAGGTAGCAGCTTCAGAGAGAACAGGCCGTAAAATGTTTCCTGTCGGACTTAAAGCCTGTGTCGATGTTGATGCAGGAGAGGCAGAATGAGGCACGTCTGATACCCACTTCCCATCCTGTCCGGAAACAGTCTTTCAGGTTAAATTTTAAAAGAGCCCTGACTGGGGAGGAAGTCCATGCAGATGGATGGGTTCTTAGAATGTTTTATTTTTGTTGTATCCCTTACCATATTTGCTAAGGAAGATCCTAAAAACAAGGCACTGTCAGGATTCCTTTAAGGCGCCCCCGAGGTCCCCGCCAGCCCTGGTGCTCTGCAGCTCTGCCCGGCAGGAACGGAGGCCCTGAACTGGGCTGAGAGGAGCTGCCCCGCCACCAGCACCACTTAGACGCTCCTGTCTCAGCCTCGCCTGTTTACCTCCCTCTCAAGTCACCACGCTCCACCCCTACCCCGTGATTTCTTGCCATTTTGCCCATTTTTTGTGTGTGTGTG